TGATCAGAACCTGTTTGGAGGATTGCATCGTAGAGTTTTTGGTCAGCTCTTCTAATAGTTGCAGATATTGGTTCATAAGTATCAGTAACGCCGAGCCTTATTGCACGTCTTTGAAACAAATTTATCTTCTCTAGATCTTTAACATTTGAACCACCCCAAACATTAATGCCATAGTAAAGCTTTGGGATAATAAAAGCACGATACAAAATAGCAAGTTCGCTCTTCGAATAACCGATTTTACCAAGGCGCCAGATTGAAAAAAGTATAGAATTCGATTGTTTAACAGCTTTGTCAATATGCTTAGAAAAACCAAATTTGGAGTCAATCGTAAACCCCAGCACTTTGAGGTCATCACAACCTCAATGCCCTCAACCATAAGTATGGCATTACTGCCACTATGGTTGAAGATGATACGCATTTCCTTGGAAGATTTTTGAACATTGAGAAACAAGTTTCTTGCGTCAAATTGGTGACAGAGCGAACTAATAACTTCCCGAGCATTGTCAGCGCTATTGCAGCCAGCTACAAGAGGATTGTTATCGTCAGCATAAGTTGATAACGGCGTGGAAATATCTGAAACATCAATAGCATGGTTAGAGCAATTGTAGAGAGGCGGACTAAGGACAGTGCCCTGCCTGAGGGACACCCTGATTAGTATACAAAACAGTTGAATCCAAGCCATTGAGAGATGTATAATGGGCTCTATTTTGCAAGAAGTTAATGATTACGTTGACAACCGCAGGATCGACTACTGGGACAATATTCATTACTCCTTCTCTTGTGGGAAATAGTATCAAAAGCTTTTGACATATCTAGAGAAAAGAAGCGAACATAATCATAGTTTTCACGGAAATTCCAGAGATGATGTTGCAGCCTAATAAGCATACAGGAAGTAGAAGAATGTTTACGAAAACCATACTGGTTACGTGTAAGCCATCTGTTATAAGGGCCTTGCAGATAGTTCTGGTAAATTAACCTTTCAAACACTCTGGACATAAGAGAAGTAACAGAGACAGGCCTCAAATCCTTTGGCTGCTTTGGAGACGAAACTTTTGGCAAGGGAGATATTGTTGCAAGCTTCCAAAACTCTTGAATATATGTCAATAGATTTGGGCCAAATTGTGAGCATTGTCGTTAAAGATCCAAAACGGCAGAGCGTCTGGGCCAGTAGCGGTACGCCTAATGCCTTTCATGGCATTAAATATTTGCAAGAGCGAAAACTGCGGACCGTCATTTGTAGTCTCCAAATAAGTAGGCCTGAATGGGCCTCTACTACTACTACTACTACTAAAAGAATTTATTCCCTTTAAAATATAAAGGCATCAAACAAAAGAAATGGTATGATTATGTACACAAGACATCACGAACGGCAATTTATGCAATGGCAACAAAGTAGCATTGAACAAGAGTTGTTTAAGTTGAACATATCAATTCTATTTTTCAGATAGATTTTCAATTTTGCTTTGAAAATTTCAGGCGATGAGAAAATGTCGGCTATGTTGTTTGCTGAAATCATGTTGGCATACCGACAGACGCGATAGAAGAAAAATTGCTCTGTAAAGAAGAGTCGACAATTCTGGGTTGTTGAAAGCTTAGGGCGTGAGCTATTGCGAAGGTCTTTGGCTGCAAAGGTAAAATTTATGTATCTGTAAAGGTTGAAATCAAATTGATCAGTCAGGACTCGATTAAGAAAACACATATCATGTAAAGCTATAGTGAAGGAAATTGGCAAGGAATTCGTTTTTCTAAGTTGTTCTGTATAGTCGTTGACTCCCGTTACCCATTTCAAACATTTTCTGTTAAATAATTCTAGTTTGCGGCGATATGTTAAAGATGGAAACCAGACCTGACTACCGTATAATAAAATACTCACAATACATAGCTGGTAATATTTGAATTTGGTTCTCATGGATACTCCATAAGGGATTGAACGTTTCAAGAAATGGAAAGCTTTGTTAACTGCAACCAGTTTGGTTTTAATGTGGATGTCCCACTTTAAATCACTAGATATCGTTACTCCGAGATCTTTGATAGATGAAACTGACGGAATTGGGTAATCATTAAGGCAAAGTGTAGATTTGGGGGAAGTTGAGTTAAAACAAATAACTTTGCATTTATCAGAATTAAATGTCATTTCGTTTTCAAGCGTCCAATTGATAAATAGATCAATGTCTATTTGAACTAAGGAAAAGTCATATTTTGAATAGAGTTTGCTGTCATCAGCAAACAGAAAACATTTAGAGGTTTTCAAGACAGCTGGCATGTCATTAATGAAGAGTATAAATAGCAAAGGGCCGAGTACACTTCCTTGCGGAACACCACTTGTTACATGGCCTTTTGGAGATGCTTCATTGTTAATTAAGACATTTTGCGTGCGGTTTGTGAGATAGGAAGCAAAAAGTTCAAGAAAGCTAACGTCAAAGCCTAAATTACCAAGTTTCAAAATAAGTATATGATGAGGAACTTGATCAAAAGCCTTGCGAAAATCGAAGTACACAGAAAGACATTCGCTTTTTGCCTCGACGTCGTTATAAATCTGATCTAGGTATTCAAGAAGCTGAGTAACAGTCGATCGCTTGGTCATAAAACCATGTTGAGCAGGTGTAACTTTAGCCCGAATTTTAGGATAAATGAAATCGAAGATCATTCTCTCCAGAACAATCGATAATTGAGGCAATATGCTAATCGGGCGATAATTTTCAACATTTTCGGGATTACTAGATTTAAGAACTGGCGTAATAAACGCACATTTCCAAAGTTCTGGCCACGTTTTAGTTTCCAAAACCTTGACAAAGAGCTGCACGACTAGAGGAGATATTAATTCACTGCAGTAGTTAAGAATAAAGGTTGGGAGGCGGTCGTTGGTAATACAAGAAGTTTTAGCAAATTTGAGAGCTTTCTCGACCTTTTTAAGGTTGACATGGAGATCGGATAGAAAAATGGTGGGTTTTTCGGGTTGTAAGATTTGAATTTCATGCTTTTCTAGAAACACTGAACAGAAGTAATCGTTCAAAAGAATGGCTATTTCAATAGAAGTGGATGCTTTTCTATTCATCCAGTGCATTTGGTTTGGTAGTTTCCTTCTGGTAAAAGATCGAAGGTATTTAAAGCAATCACGGGTAGAATTTGGTCTTAAAGATTCAAGGAGACAAGTTTTATCCAATTCGATTGAATTGTTAAGGTCTTGTTGGATCGAAGCTAAATGATTTGTGTTGGCTGTCCGTTTAGATATGGAATGATGCTTATTCAGTAAATGAACTGTATGCGACGAAAAATAATAGGGAAGTTGCTGGCGTCTTTTAGTTTTCTGTGCGCATGATGAAAGAATTGCATGATTGATCTGAGCGTACCAGCTATCTACATAATCATTAGTGGTGGATATGGAATAACATGAGTTTTGTTCCACAATGAGTTTGGTAAAGCAAGGGCTGATGTTAGTATTGAAGATCGAATGAGAAAAAGATGATTTAGATAGAGAGGTTTTCATAAAATTCCCACTCACAGTAGGCGCTGCTTCAGGAATGGTAAAAAAAGCAAATAAAGGAAAATGGTCTGAGTAAAGCACTTCATTTACAAATGCAGTGAACAATTCTGTGTGCGAAGTTAAAATGATATCAAGAGTGTTGCCTGAGCGATGTGTGGGTTCATATATAAGGGGCATTAAGCTATGATCCTCAATAACCTCTAGGAACAGTTTCGAGTAATCACAGCCACCATCAGAAGATGCCCAACAGATATCAGGCAGATTTAGGTCACCTAAGATTGTGTACGAACTAGAACCATTAATCAATTTGGAGTTAAAATAACGTATTGAATCAGTAAGCATTTTGGCAGGTATCCGAAACTGCGACGAAGCGGGGGGGTTGTAAATAAGGAGGAAAATATGATTAACTGCACCCGAATATATTGAAAGTCCGATGCAGTAATCTGCATCGTATGATAGAGTTGAATAATTTAGAGCAAAACTCCTTTTTGTAATAATGAGAACACCTCCGTGTTCTCCAGAAGTGCGGTCTTTTCGAGCAATAACCGAATAGGGAGAATTCATAGGAAAAATTTCGGGATCAGTAACTTCTGGTTTAAGCCATGTTTCAGTAATGAACACGATATCAGGAGAATGTAAAGAAAGAAAATTGATTAACTTCAGACGCTGATTTATGCTCAAGAGACTTTGTGCGTTGATAAGGCATAACTTTGATTGTAGTCAGTCAAGATTGATCTTGATACCATTTCGTTCGAGGGTCAGACCACGAATTTTTAGCTCATCGCGTGGAACTTTTTCATTGTTAATCATGTCGTACCGTTTCTTGAAGATTTTACGTTTCAGAATCTGTTCTTCTTGGTTCAGGGACTTCGATATGAAAATCTTTTCTTTGAAATTCTTCAGTTTGTAAGATTTTGCCAGGCATTTTCTAGCATTCCATTCGGATGACAGACGAACAAGTAAAGGACGCGGTCTTCGTTGTTGGGGATTAGCTTTACCAAGTCTATACATTTGGCAGATACTGAGATTTTCTTCGCCTATATGATCAAAAATTTCGGCCTCTTTGGCTTCTTCGGCCTCTATATTGGATGTAAACTGTCCGTTGTCTTCGCAGACCCCGTCGATGATTATCTCGTTTTCACATGTGTTGGCCCGGTGACTGTTATTAATACGACTATTAACCGGTACATTCGATGATGTTGTCTTGGTTGGATCAACATTTTCAACAGTTTCTTTAATGCTTTTTGTAATTTCGATTAAGCTTTCTTGTCTTTGAATAATCAGTTCAAACTTAGCTTGGGATGTGAAGATGTTCCCCTCAAGGCAGCCAGAGCACAGCCAGAAGCATCCTCGAATTTTGCCCATTGTAGCTACATCATCAGGAGACAATCCAACACATTGCCCATGGAACCACGCGCTGCACTTTTCACATCCTATAGCAGTTGAGTCGTTGTCCTTCACTGTTTTGTTGCATGGTCCACATCTAGTAGCTTTTGCTTGAGACATATCAAACCGGAAACTATTTAATAAGTTTATCATTCACCTTCAGTTGGCGACACAAATTGGATCCAGGTGAATAAATAATGTGCGAATGGAATCGCAGTGGCACATTGAGTCTTTACATGCAAATACAGGATATTCTATATTGTTTTAATGCTTTTGTTAGTTTTCAATCAATTTTTGGCATTTTGTGATCTTTCTTTTCGTCATCGAGTGACTGCACAATATACCCACATCCAATAAATTATAAACTCCCAGACTGAGGCTGTAATTTGAGGCAGGAGTCTAAAGTAGGAAAAGACTATTTGAATTGATCATGCGTGTTTGGAGTAAGAAGTTTTTTCTCTTTTCAGACATTATGTTATCGCGGTGCTCATGATACAACTGAAATCGTAACTGCAATATACAGCACAGAGAAATGAGTGGAAGACCGAAAAGTTCGGTTAATGAGCAGCCTCGTATCTCAGGGAGCTCAGCCCCTTTCAGAAAAGGCAAGTAACGGCTTATGGATTGGTTATAAATGGACTAGATTTCTATATACTATGAAAACAAATTTTATTTTTAAATTTCGGGATAGTTTGTTTTATGCGTTGTGTATGACTGATTCTGGGCAAGAATTCATTTAAAGGATGTTTAGATGGTAGAGGAACAACAGTTATAGCGTCTCCTGGAAGTCAGGATGATGGCGATAGTACACAAGAGATTACGTACAGTGACGCACGGGTTATTGGAAATGGGTCATTCGGTGTCGTATACCAGGCAACACTACTATCATCCGAAAACAGAGATGTTGCCATCAAAAAAGTTTTACAAGACAAAAGATTCAAGGTAAAGATTAGTGATACTTTCAGTTCTATGAAGCGAAATTGACGACAAGCAAGACTAGGTGTTCCATGCAAAGATTCAAATTGAGCAATCCATATTCGATTTTTGTTTCTGTCAAGCTAAAAAGAAATCGTTCCAGTCAAGTTAAGAAATGTCTGTCCGTTTATTACACTAAGTCGCAAATATTGGTGCCAATTTTGGGGCACCTTTATAACTTTTTGATAGCATGTGCTTTGCCATTCGAATCGTAATAAGCAGGGCTGGGTAAAATACAATTGCAGTACTATTTCACAGTGCAATATATAATGCAATAGTTTTTGGACTCGAAATAGTTATTGCAATATTTTTTGAATCAAAATATGTATTGCAATTATTGTTCAGAGGAAACTTGGAATTGTTTCAACGTTCCAGAATGGCGCCTTAACATAAAGGAAGAGTAGCGCCTGTAGATGCAATGCAATCATTGACTTTCTCAAATGAGTAATAGTCAATATTGGATGTGGGCGCAATCCACTGCAATGCAAACTTTTCTCCTTGAGACGCATTCTTCTTAGCAGTAAGAATTTAGTCCGCAAATTTTCCTCGTGGTTCTTTGTCAACATTGATAGGCGTAACCGGGTTTGCGAAATCATTCAATAACTCTGTTGCTTCCTGTGAAGCTTCGTATGAGAATCGCACATATAGCATTTTCGAACTCTTTGCAAGCAACAATATCCGCATTGCGTGAGAGATGAGGCTCCATCGTAGGAAAGTTCGCAATTACTGCATCAAACAAAATCCGCACGTCGCCAAGAGTCAGTTCTGATTGTTGAAAGTTCTTGTTGACAGATTCCAGTTTTTCTAGTTCTTGTAACAAATTGGCATTGACCAGGTTCTCTACAGCAGACGACCGGAGATTGATAATGTCACTATCGGAAGTACTAATGAACTCTTTTAGTTGTTCATAACGACGAATCGTTTCTTAAGTGCTTGACCAGTGGGTCACTTTTGCAATTTAAGGGTGCAAATGCGTTTTTTTTTCTGCAAAGAACGATATTTCCCACATCAATTTCACCATCAGATTGTGAACTTTGCTGATAGTCGTTTCATGTAAAGACAGATACTTTTCAAAAGCGAGGTTGAACCGATGGCTGGCACACCTGATAAACGGTAAAACTAGATCGTTGCTAATTTTGATGTTCGCAGGCGCATTGTTTCCAACAAGGAAAGATAGGTTAGAAATAGATTCACCTCAAAATGATAATGTCGATTCAATCAACTGAACATGTGCTTCTGCGTCAACCTTTTCTTCATCCAATAAATGCGACATAGCAAGCAAAGTAGTTTAATTTTCCTTGTTTTCCTAACTGGCGAAAATAAGTACGTAGTGAACACTCTGTTCCGTCCAGCCATCAAAAATGATACCAATTTTCTCTGGTAACTTCGAAGAAATAATGTTTTCCACTTAAGGAACGAGTTACTCGATATACGTAGGAAGACTTTTCGAATAGGGTCTAGCTTAGTATATTTGCGCGCGAGGTTGCTCTCTACAAAAGAAAACGCTAAATTGTCTTGTTCAATCCAAGTAATCCAGTTAAAAATATTTCTAGCCTTGTTCGTAACTGAAAACGTTGTGCCTGCTAATCCATTGATTGAAACAATTTTTCTGTCCCAAGTACTGTGAGACTTCAAAATATGGTCTTTCAAGTCGCTGAAGCCGGTGTTTTCTTTCTGCGTTTTATAGTTCCACATTGGCATTTATAGCGCCCTGTACCGCTAGCTTCTTTGGTGAAGTAAAAATGAACAGCTTCTTTACTCAAGACACATTTCGTTCGTTACCTGCAGTTAAGAGGCGGACTGGTTGGAGTGAGGACAAATGAAACTGACAAAAGGCAAACAGCTGTCTAAAAGTTAACAAGAAAACCGGTGACGTTTGTTTGTTTTGTCTGTGAAAGTATTGCACAATATATTGACCGCTAGCAATAGTTATTGCAATAGTTTTTCTGTCAAAAATATCTAGTGCAATACTTTACTTTTTAGAAATATGGTACTGCAATAAAAATAATGTACTGCAAACTATTTCAAAACAATATATTTTTACCCAGCCCTGGTTATAAGTTAACACAGTTGATCCATTTTAAATTCATCGAATGAACCGAAAAAGCTATGGGTTCAAACAACATAACAATGATAAAAACTCGATTTCAGAAATTTTCTAATTCAATATATCTCGCAATTTTTTGAAATGCATAATTTATACATAATGTGGCTTTATGCTTTCCGATTTGTTGCATGCAAAGTTAGCGTGGATGCTTCAGTTTGTTATATTCCAAGTTATTACTTGCAAAATTGTTTATATTTGGTGCCACTGTTGCTGAACGGCATTGGCTATTTATTAGCATATGTAGCTGTTTTATTCGTGACTAGTGTTTCGGTGGTTAAGCGTGCGTGGCTGAGTGGTTACTGCGTGAGACTCAAAATCTCTTGATTGCAGGTCCCAGATCGAATCCTAGAAGACCTAGACGATTTTGTTTTACTAATTCGAAGCTCGTTTCTGTTTTTTTTCCGATTGCTTTTTCTAGAGCTGTTTTTTTTGTCGTGTTCTGGCTAGTGTTTGCGAAGCTTCGCCTTCGTATAAAGCAACAAATCAGTGCATTAAAATTTTGATTTTATACTTGTCGTCAAATAATGATTAAACCAGATGGCTGTTTTTGTTATTCGGAACAGTTTTTTATTAATTTTTGTACACAAGAGAAGCGAAAGGTATTATTACGAAGATTTTATTTCTAACATAAGTAGCAAATAGCAAAGCTCATTAGGTGGCACTTCTGGTATATTTCAATTTAATCATATTTAAGCATAAGCAATTTAAAAGCATATGTTGCTGCTTTATTGTTGGCTAGTGTTAGGTCCTGTTTGAAAAAAAAATCAGCTATAATTACAAACTAAGGGTTTTCTTTTTTTTTTGGTTTTTTGGCGAAGCTTCAGAAAATTTTGCTTTTTTTTTAGAAATTTCAATTTTCCTCAAAAAGTGCTGTCAGTTTTCAAAAACAAGGTTCCGATGGAAAAACCGGCTGCTTGCTCTACTATGTGCCTGTTTTTTCAGCTAGTCTCTTTTCAGTTTACTCCACGTTCTATGGCCTTCGAATGTTCAAGTGGAGGTTTTTTTCCTATTTGTATTGAGTTTTTTTCCTTTTCTCAAATATTGAATGCACAAATCTGAGACAAGCGGATCTTCCCTAAATTCCATAGAAAAAAGTTATGGCCTCAAACAAGCCCATTGTGTTATTTTGTCAATTTTTCAAAAACGTTTCAGACTTTTCTCGATAGCTACTTAGCCAAATCGGATACTAAAGGTATAACCGAAAGAAAAACAAATAGTTTTGCTAATCTTCCCTGCGCAAGCGGCTATGACCTGCGTTTTGAAAAATAATATGACCCTGGACAATGTCCAATCTTTAAATTTTTGCCCGTTTTTTCGAAACTTATTCTTTTTTTGACAAAAACTAACCTGTTGAGTCTGAGTGTGATAGTTTATTCAAACTAACATGGTGCTTAGATTTTCCTTGCACAAGATGCCTATTTATTTGAAGAAAAGCTGATTTACCATTTTTCATCACTATTCTCGAAAACTATAGCTAAATTTGATATCATGGGCTTAGTCTAAAAGTATAGGTGTGGTTGTCTTCCCCGCAAAAAAAGGCTATTCCCTTGCTTAAGTAGAGAAAATTTAACTGATTTAGGAAAAGTCATGTTTTTGAATTTTTGGTCGTTTGTGGAATCTTTTTCATTTTTTTTTCGAAAACTACCCATCCAAATTTGAGATAAAGACTTCAATTGAAAAGTTTTTCTCCTTCAAATAAGCGGCCAATCCCCTACTTATGCAGAGAAATCACTACGGTTTTGCGTAAAGTCCATTTTTTTTTGAAGTTTATGTATTTCGGTATCAGTACAAAATATGATTGGAAATATTAAAACAGGTGGATTCAGTATTGACTGGGCCACTCATTTGCTTCCAAGCGACCGTGGCGCAGATGTGAGGACGTGAGACTCCTTATCAACAGGTCGGATATTCAAATCCGGAACATTGAAATAGTTTTATTTTATTTTTGTCAAATTTTTGCTGCGTAGCATTGACAATTTGAAAGAAACTGCAGCTGCTTTGTCGGTGGCTAGTTTTAGTAAAAGTACAAGCGGTCGTGGAGCAGATGTGAAAACGTGATACGTAAGCGTGTCGAATCAAATCTGATTCGAATCTGGTCAGGACTAGTTTTCTTTTAAACCGGAAATATTCCGTTTCAAAAAATGTCGGCATAGTGTTTGTCTGATTTGTCGGCTTAGTTGCCATCACGGAATTTTTTGTGCTGGAGGCAATTTTTTTGTAGGTTCAAGTTTTTTATTCTTGTAATTTGTAATTTTACCATTCCTGACTGTTTCTCGTCCAAAAGCTTTATTCGACCTAAATGGTTTCGGCTCATGATTTATCAGCTTCGTAATCTAACTTTGCGGTTGAAGAGAAACATTTTTTGTAACGCTACAGCCACAACCCTCCCTCATAAAAAAACACAATAGCATGAAAGCTTATTGCTTAAAGTTTTTCATTGACATCAGTTTTGTTTTCGGCTTAACGGCAATTTTCACAAAATTTTGTCAGCCTAGTTGCCGCTCGATATAAATGTTTCGGTTTAAAAACTTTGTATTCGGTTGTTTTTTAGTTTTTTTCTTGCAAAATTAGGTACCACGAATAATCGTAGGATTGGATTGAGTGATATATCATATTACAGAACTTTCAGTCGTGATTCGAAAATAAATATTAAAGTTTTTTCAAAAAATTTTTGTACCTGTGTCGAGAAAAACTGATCAAGTTTATAAGGTTAAGTCCAATTTCATGCGAGCAACGCAATCGAGTAACGTTCCTTATTACCATTACCCTTGCGATAAGCAAGTGTGTTGCAATTGGATACTAGACTTTTTCGGGTTCTGAAATTCTGATTTTTTTTTTGGGTTCGTGGTTTTAATTGCTG